TATATCACGAGAGAGGAGATCTTAAAGTCCAAACTCAGTGGAGGAAATACCCTGAAGGCAATTAACAATTGGACAATTCAATTCATTTGATACACAACTGGAATAGTGTGTTGGATTTAAGCAGAACTAGAAGTCCCAGACAGCAGAAAAAGAATGTAAATTAAATCATGCCCTTCAACCACGCAGCAACATTGATTCTACTTTCCAAGCAGCATAGGTGGGCATGGAATGTTGCAAGTACACCAGACAGGTGAAGAAGAAAAAAGAACATTGGAAGAATATCTGAAGGACAGTGAAGAAGATGCACTGGAGCCTGTAAACCATGAAGGCTTGCTGAATATCAAAGAGACCAAACGTGCCTAGAAGAATGACCAATTGAAAACAGAAAAGAGACATGACAAGGCAAAGTATTATATGGCCATTAAAAAAAAACACCCTAGAAGGCAAAGCAGATAACGAAAACCTGGTGATGACTAAGAGGAGGAAAGTTGATTTTGAGCAGAGTTAATTCTGGTTGCACAAGACCAAGCCTTAAGAACAAATGAATACAAAGCCAAAACTGAGAAGACAGCATCAGACAGCAAGTGCTGCCTCTGCAAAGAAGCTGAAGAAATCTAGTTAGGAAGACGATCACACAGATTGACTACCAACAACGGCATGACAAAGTAGCAACAACCGATGCATTGGAATATCTGCAAGAAATACCATTTGCCTGCAAGCAAGAACTGTTGGGACTACAAAATAGACAAAGTAATAGAAGATGAAGAAGTTAAAGTGATCTGGGAACTTTAGAATTCAAACAGGCAAGCAGCTGCCACACAACAACCCAGACTTAAACAACTGTTGATAAGAAAGACCAAAAAATCTGCACAGGGAACATTTGCGATACCTGAAGACAGTGAAACAGGAGAGAAAGAACTGGAGAGACATCACAAAATGCAAAGACCTACAAATAAAAATAGAACAACAGTGACAAAAGGAAGCAAAGGTATTACCTATAGCAGAGACCTTTTGGGCACCAGGGACCGGTTCGGTGGAGAGAGGTTTTTCCACGGACCGGAGGGTGGAGTGCATAGTTTTGTGTGCTGCCTGCATCCCACGGATGGGGCTTTGCTTGTTTGTGTGGACCAGTTTCTGGCATGCCGCGGCCTGGTACTAGTCCATGGACTGGGGGTTGGGGACCCCTGACCTATAGCAATAGGGGTCTTGGGTGCAATCCCCAAACATCCAGAAAAACCACTTGAACATCACTGGCATTGATAAACTCACTATCAGTCAATTGCAAAAGGTTTCACTTGCAATAGCTTACATCCTGTAATGATAACGTTAACACTATCAAACAACATCTGCCTACTTCAGGTTCTTGGGAAGGACCGAACAACTGGATAATGCCAAATCCAGTCTAAACATCTGGCTGACAGTGCAACCAACCATAATAATAAGCAAACACCAAGGCTTTCTCTTGTTTCAGTTTTCCTTGCTTTTATTTTATGTCTATTGTGACTGTCAAATAGTTGGCAGATATATTGCAAGCTTCCTAGGCCAGATCCATGCGCTGCAGTATTATTAGTCTCACAGGGCTTCCGGCAGGGTTTTTTCTTAGACTTACTTGGAAGTGACAAGAATCAAATCTGGAAATTTCTACATGAAAAATATTGTCTGGTGAGATTACAGCGAGCAGCAATAAGGATTACTTGGTTAGTTTTTTACTGGGTGACCTGGATTTGGTAACCATAGTTTTTATGCCGGGTTTTGAATGAACCATTCAATTATTCCGTTCAGAGATGCAATTCTAAGGTAATTTAATTGAACCTCCAAGTCAGATTTATGGATTGTATTGGCAAGGCAGATTGATTTGCCTCCAAATTGATTCAGATCATGTCTGCATATGTCCTAATTTTTTTAATTGATCTGGAAGCTCAAATCAATTCAACCATTTGATTTGGCTATCTGACTCAAGAATGGGATCCGTTTTCTGAATTAAAATGGAAGCCTCTGTGGAATCACAGGTCTGATCTAAATGGGATTTCTTCAGATTCACATACTCCCTTGCCAACCTGGGCAATAGTAGTCTGTTAATCAGTCAATGGATAAACAATTGGACGGGTGAACTCAGCCATCCTCATTTAAGGTTGACCATGTTCAGAAAAAACACTGGTAGAAGAACGGTCAATTATGGATTTCCTTGCAAAGCTTAATTTTATACAACTATTTTTTTCTGATGCAAAAATGAAATAGGCTGCTGGTTATAATTTAGGAGTAGGGTTGTAGAAACCTTATTAAAAGAGTGGGGTTTTTTTAGCTATACTTCCCAATGCAGTTCCATCTCCCCACCCCCACCCCTTGCATTTCCCCTGTGGGGATGTAGCAATTCTTTTCCAGGGTTTGCAAAAAAAATAATAATAAAAAATCCGAAATCTTTAAAGGGAGGGTACACCTGTAAAATCCCTTGTCCTAAAGCTGAAGAGTACAAGTCTGATCGTTGATCAATCTTGCGTCTGTGTGTGCAAAGGAGCAGAAACAAGAGACTATTAAAAGAGATGGAGGAGGAGGAGGGGAAAAAAGCAGGATGGAACACACACACACACACACACACACACACACACGATAGAGATGCAAAGCAAATTAGACAGGGCTCTGATCTGCCTGGGTTTTTGCCTGCCCCCCAAAATGCACCTTGAATCTTAATTCACTCCAGCTTTTGGTAACACACTACACACACACACACACACACACACACAATCTCCCGATCTGTTTTGGAGATCAGCCCTTTCCAGAGCACCCTTACTCCCTGCTTGCCTTCTCTTTCATCCCCTATCTGGGGATCCGGATTATTCCGGATCTCCCCTCCTTCCGCCGTGCCCTCAAGACATGGCTTTTCCATCAAGCGGGATTGGCCTAGGGGGGGGATTTTATAGGGATTTTAAAGGGATTTTATAATTTTTCTAATACAGGTTGTTTAATATATATTTTAATTTGGCTTTTAGATATTTATTGTATAGTATTGTTTTTATTTACCTGTGAGCCGCCCTGAGTCCCTCGGGAGAAGGGCGGGGTATAAATTAAAGTAATAAATAAATAAAAATAAATAAACCGTTACTTGCGCAGATCCCCCGTTCAAAGATACAGGGAGAGAGATTCCTCCCATCTCGCAAACTGGTTCCACCCGGGTTTTTATGTCTCAACTTCTCCCCGGCCGTAGTTTTTTCCTCCCCCACCCCGTCCTCCCCCACCCCACCCCCCATATGTCTTCCTTCGATGTTTTCTGTCGGTTTATTTCTTCTGTTCGGAAGCTGGACGATCTTGGTAAAAATAATACCCGGTGATGTTTTTTTATTTTTTATTTTTTAAAAATCTGGGACCAATACACTCGCGACTTTTTTTTTTTTTTAGTTTGTTTTCTATTCGTCAATTCTTCCCGGATTATGTACCAGGGATTGTTTTCTGTCAAATTGCAGAACTTACAGTAAAAAGAAAAAAAGGAAGGAAGGAAGGAAGGAAGGAAGGAAAGGAAAGGAAAGGAAAGGAAGGAAGAAGGAAGGAAGGAAGGAAGGAAGGAAGGAAGGAAGGAAGGAAGGAAGGAAGGAAGGGGAAAAAAAGAAAGGATGGGGGGATTACGAGGAAGGGGTGTTCTGGAGAAAGGCATTAGATCTAGCAACAGACGAGCTCCCTTTCTCTCATGGGTGGCGATCCCGACGGGGGATCCTTTTTCCCCACGCGCACCTGGCCGATCCTTTCTGACGTTTACTTGGAAGTAAACCTTAGCTGGACCCCCAACGAGGCGGGCTCGTTCCCACGTCAGGGGACCCTGCTGTTCTGTAGTAGGGGGGGGAACATCAGGGGCCCCGCACCGCGGCGTCCGCAGCCCACGCGCGTTTCTGCGGAAGAGGAAGGACGGAGGCGCCCGCTTTGGCGGACCGCCGCCTTCCCTCGGTCTTGACCCACCGATCGGTCCGAGGAGCCCACCCACAACTTCCGAAACAACCAGAAAGCCGAAGCTGGAAGACCCCCCCCAAAAAAACTCATCTCCACCGTGCCCAGAGACGGGGGGGGGGGGGGAAACGCTGCATCCCGGTCCTTGCCAAAGCCATCGCCAAACGCGCCGAGCCGGAGTCACGAGTGCCAACGGCGGTGTGTGTGTGTGTGTGTGTGGGGACCGCGGCTGTGATCAACCGCCCACAGTCACAACCTGGCCGGTTCACTTCTGCAGCACTGCTGGGCGTGGGAAGGCAGGAAGGGCCAGCCGGGCCGCCTTCGTGATTCTCTCTCTCTCTCTCTCCCAGCCACTGCCCGGTGCTTTTTATTTTTTCCTTTTCCTGCAGGTGTTTCAGTTTTCATTCCGCCCAGTAGGTGGGACTTGGGGACTTGGAGCATCAGTATAGGAGCCCCCCTACCCGCCACCTCCAGCCCGACCGCCCTCGCTTCCTCCTCCTCCTCCTCTTCCTCCTCCTCCTCCTCCTCCTCCCTGCCGCTGCGAATCTTCCCTTGCGATCTTCACAAGTCTCGGGAAGAGCAGCCAGCCAGCCAGCCAGCCAGCGAGAGAGAGAGAGAGAGAGAGGAGGATCAACAAGGCACCGGGACACGCGCGCAACCCCCCCTCCCCACGCCACCACACACACACACACACACACACAGCAGAGACACACACACACCCCGCTCCCGCGCGCGCATCTCTCCACCAGCCGCTATGCCTGGCGCACCGCGCTTGTAAGAGGGAATTTACAGCCTTTCCGCTCGGCCAACATGGTTTCAACGGCGCCAGGATTTTCTCTTGCTCCGATCGCTTGAGGGTGGTTTTTTTTTTTTTTTTGATTTAATAANCCTCTCTTTCCCCTCGCCTTCTACGCTGCTCCCTCCCTCCTTCCCCTCCTCCTCCTCTCCTCCTCCTCCTTCTTCTTCTTCGCAATCTTTCCTCCTCTTTCTCTCTCTCCCCCCCCCCTCTCTCGGTGTGTCTTTTTTTTTTGTTTTGTTTTTTGAAAATAAAGCCCCACCGATTGAAGATGGATGTCTCGTTTTGTCCGACCAAATGTAGTTTTTGGAAGGTTTTCTGGCTCTGGAGCATTTGGGGGGACTACTTGGTTTCCGTTTTGGGTTGCCCTGCCAACTGCCTTTGCAACAAGACCGACATCAGTTGCAAAAAACCGGACGATGGCAACCTCTTCCCTCTCCTGGAGGGGCAAGATTCGGGATCCACCAATGGAAACGCCAGCATCAACATCACGGATATCTCTAGGAATATCACTTCGATGTAAGTCTCTCTCTTCGCCCTCGGCTCGGCTCTCCTTCTTCTTCTCCTTCTCCTTCTCTCTCTCTCCCCCTTCCTTCCTTCCTTCCTTCCTTCCTTCCTTCCTTCCTTCCTCCCCCCCCCCGCCCCGTGTGTCCAAATACGAATGTGCGGTGACTGTAAAGGAGAATGCAGGGGTGGGGTGCGATTAAGAGAAGCGGAGGTTTTGGGTTCTGCCCGACGGGGTACCCGACGCCCCTCTGGGCCACCAATTCTGTCCCGCGACTCGCCTGCCGGGGAAGAAGGTTAGGCGGTGGGACCTCTGCGTGTCGCTGAATGCAGATTTAGCATCCTTTCCCCTCCTCCCCCGCAAATCCTGGGAGCCTCCCTCCATGGGCAAAAAAAAAAAAAAGCAACAGTTTGCAAAAAAAAAAAAAAAAAAAAAAAAAGCACGAAAGGGCCCTGGAGTCGAGAAAGGGGTTTTGCCAGCAACCTCGAGGGCAATTGGGAGAGGGGCTTGTAAGCGTTTTGTGTGGCGGAGAACCGGATCTTTCAGTCGCCGACAATCTCGAGCTTGCTTTAAACTGTGTGCAAAGAAGAATCTGTGAGAATATGTGTTTTCTCTCTCTCTCTCTCTCTCTCTCTCTCTCTCTCTCTCTCTCTCTCTCTCTCTCTCTCTCCAGGATAACAGGAGTTTTTCTCCCACCCCTTCCTTTTATACTGAAGTCTCTCTGTCCTTGTTGATGCTTTTTTTTTAAAAGAAAAAAACACACACGACCCTATTAACACTGCAGATATATATGCCCAGAGAGAGAAAGAGAGAGGGACACACACAAATTCATGCCTGTGTCTGCCTAAAATGACCTTTGGGATATAATTGTCCTATATAAAGTAATCCACATTCAAGTTATTTTACACACACACACACACACACAGGCACAGCACGGACACCCAGACACTGACACTCACATATTTTAATTGCAAGGGGTGTCTGATTCCAGAATCAGTCCCTTCTCTCATAGCTCCTCTCTCTTTCTCTTCCTCTTCCCTTTTAGCTGTGCATATTTTGATTCCCGAGTAGCTGGCCTGAGGTTGGGGGCTGTTGAAAGCCCGAGATATTTTTTTTTAGTGGTGTGTTTTGCTGCTTTATCTGGAAAATCAACTTCCCAGTTCCTCCTTTCGCCTTGTTAGGAAATCCCAGTGGGTGAAACACCACATAAAATCCCATGATGGTGGTGGTGAGGCTGGGAGGGAGAGGAACCATCATTCCGCTCCCTCTTTTCACAAGTTTTATCAACCTAGATTGCAAATATGAATCATACATACCAAACACCTCTCAGCTTGGCTTTCTGCATTGGGCTAATACACACGCATGCTTGTTTATAGACAAGGAGTGGATGGGGCAAAAAAACCCCTCTTCATTCATTGACAGAAACCAAAGTAGGCTTATTGGGTGGGGAGAGGCAGGGTCAGGGGGAGGGGGAGGGTTGGAGGGGGAGGGGGAGGGAGAGAGACCCCCATGATACTCCTGTGTAAGTAACCCATGGGACTCCCACAGGGATGGGGTTTTCAGGATGAGGAATGTGGGATGCTCATTATTATTATTATTATTATTAGGCGGTGAAATGCAGGAAAAGATAGCAATGACTAATGAGAAAGGGGATGGTGGTTATTCTTATTAATTAAATATCCCAGTGGCACAAGACGCTTCATAGAAGGAGTTGGGGGGAAGGGGATGACAGATGGATGACTTTAGGTCGCTGTTTCCTTCCCCTTTTTTCTCCATCCTTGGGAGAGGGGGGTTGCTTTTCAGCTCTAACAGAGCTCAGGGCTAAATTGCCCCGATGTGTATGTGATATTTTTTGTGTGTGTGCTTGTTTGGCAGAGAGACCTTCACGGTGCACAGAAGTTGAAAAGGTGGCATTTTAAAATAGTGTAAGGATGAGCTCTCTGTGTTTCTCCTAGGCTGGGTAGATCCTAAAAGCTGGCCCTTGGCCTTGCAAATAACTTCCCAAAAGTTACTAGACCCTAGAGAGGTGGATAGCATGGGAAGAGAGAGAGAGAGAGAGAGAGAGAGAGAGAGTGCATGAGAGAGAAGAATATTTCTGTTTCCAAATATTTTCCTGCATGGTCTGTTGGAGACAATACTAACTTGCTAGAGATGACTGGGAGAGTGGTTGCTTTTAAACCCATCCTGCCCTTAGTAACTTTCTTTTTATTGCTGTTTTTCTTCCCACATTTTTTTTTCCTCATCGCCCCAAGGAATCAGAGAAGCCAACTTTGGAACTAGTCCTGCATTCAGTTCCCAGATGCATCCCTATTTTTACAGTACAGGATGGTTTCTAGATAACATCAGGAAAAAAATAATAAAAAAACCTCTACATGGATGTTCTCAGCCTGGGGATTCTGGGCCTTCTCATCTTTCAGAGGCATCTTCCCCAATTTTCACTTTTCCCCTCTTGTTCTCCTGTAATTCACCGCCATTTATAAATGAAGCGATGTCTTCTTAGTATTTTGTGTGTCTATATCATAATCTGAACTGCTGGGGGAGATATGATTATGTGAATCTTTTGTATCCAGGAAATAACTTGATTGCTTTGAAAACGCTGATCAAGCTGTTAGTTGAATAGGTGGAGGACCTTCTCCAAACTCCAAAAGAAGCAAAGATGTTTTATATCCCCCTTCAAAAGAACAGATTTTAATTTTTTTTTCCCCAGGGAAAGATTAGAGGTGGTTAGCCTAGCTGGAAATCTGACTCTGCTTGTGATCTCACCTTGGCCTTTTGAAATAGCTAAGAGAAAAGATACACTGGATATTTCTCTGGCTAGTATGATGCTGCAAAAATACATTTTTGCATTTGGGGGCTAAAAAACAAAGCAGAAAAGGATCTGACTTTTCTTTAAAGGGGATTAACCAACCATGGTAGAATCTAGGAAGAATTCTGACAACCACAACCTCTGGGGCTACCCACTACGACAGCTAAATGAAGCTTCCATCTTCAAGGGAAGTATTCCATCAACTGTCAAATCCACTGTTGGTTACTGCTTTACATTTTCAAGATACTTTTTATTTACCTGCATTTGGAAGCAGGGTGCTGGCTAAACCGACCCTTCGCTTGAATAGCAGGGCTCTTTTCATAGCATGTGCAAGCACGGAATCGAATACATTTCTATCCTATTCCGAAGAAGACCGTAAAATTCTTAATGGGTCTGCTTAATAATCAAGAGGCTGCAGATGAGAAACCATGTGGTCCAAGAACCCAAAACAACACCCCCCCCTCTCCTTGCTGATCATGCCAAATCATTGGGATTCTAGCAGGCTTAGAGAAAGCTCGGATGGGGCAATTCTGTCAATTCCCCCCCCCCCATTGAATCAGATCTACAAAGTGGAATCCTCTTTCACTCTCTGGACTGGAGTCACCCCGACCATTTTAATGGGGCTGTTTCTTTCGCCTTCAAGCAATCTGCTGGTGTGCAGTGACCATTCCTTTCGCTGCTCGTTCTAATGTCGGGGACAAAATCTGCCTTGCTATTTCCCATTGTCTTTCCTTAAGATAAGAAGGGTTCCTGTTTTGCTCTTCTATTCTCCCGAGTGCTTGAAGATTTTTTGGGGGGAGTTTCTCTGGATGAGGTTTTGAGCTGACTTCCTTGGTGTGTTTTCTGTGACCTATTGTTTCATCCTCCCTGTAGCCTCCTTGGATGTCCACGTTCTTTGGTTTTTTTTTATTTTTTTATTTTTAAACAAGAAGATTCATGAAAAAAATTCCTTTTGGGTGTCTTTCCTTGGGATTTAATTGAAGGATGGGAAGCCAGGTTGGCTGAAGGCTCCTGGAGAGTGATTGGACCAAAATAGACAGAACATTCTTCTCTTCTCCTCTCCTCTCCTCTCCTCTCCTCTTCTCTTCTCTTCTCTTCTCTTCTCTTCTCTTCTCTTCTCTTCTCTTCTCTTCTCTTCTCTTCTCTTCTCTTCTCTCTTCTCTCTCTCTTCTCTCTCCTCTCTCTCCTCCTCTCTCTTCTCTCTCTCTCTCTCTCTCTCTCTCTCTCTCTCCTCTCTCTCTCTCTCTCTCTCTCTCTCTCTCTCTCTCTCTCTCTCTCTCTCTCTCTCTCTCTCTCTCTCCATACAACAGGACACTACACCCCTTAGTATTTCCTGGGTGGGAGGAGAGAATTCTTTTCTCCCTTGGTAGAAATGTCTGAAGCCAATCCTCTTCTGCCAAATTGAACTGGTAGAACACAGCTGCTGTAAAAAGTATCTTGGCTGGTTGATGGGCAGCCGATCAGAGAATGCCCTTTTCATCAGTGCTATATTGAAGCCCAATGAGTTGAGACAGTCCAGAGGAGAGGCTGAAAGGGCTGGACAGTAGCCAGAGGGTGTCCTTCTCGGGGCTTCCCCTCTGAAATGGCCTGAGAAGCTTACCTTGTCAGACAAAGATGGGAGTTACACTAGCTGGTTTATTGTGACACAACAGAGTGTCTGTTTAAGCACCACCAGGGGCTTTTAATTTCATTAACTGTGTCTCTTTGAAGCAATCAGCCGCCTCTGAGGAAAAAAAAAATGCTCTGGGAGGCTTAGATGCATCCAAACAAGAAAAGGAAAAGGGAAATAATGGATACTATCATTGCTCTAAAGATATCTGTTTGGACTCTGATGCTTAAAAAAATATATATTTTGGAAGACTCTAGAGATGGAAATTGAGCTTTTTCATTCCAATCAGGATGGATTCCAACTTTCATTGTGAAGATTGAATAAATAAAGAACACACTCTTGGCCTGCGTCAACCCACAGAATAATGTCCACAAACAGTGATGGATACTAGTGAAGAAGATAAAAGATTTTTTTAGCCCAGGAGTAAACTGCAGAACTTAGGAAACCATTATGCCAGATAGTGGCATTAAACATAACATCCCAGATAGCCGTTGGTGGTGTCAAAGGCTTCCTCACTTTGGAAAATAGGATATTTTTAAAAAAAGTTAAAATCCTGGACGGAAATGTAGAAATCTTCTAAGATTATCTCATGAAATTAA